TAAATCGGACACAAAAAATTATTCGTATAAAAAAGTCACATTTTTATTTTTCAGAGCCAAAGACCGAGATTTTAGGTGCGCCAGAGTTGTTCATCAATCGAGGTAGCACCATCAATCTCACGTGCGTCGTCTTACAGAGTCCAGAACCACCCGCCTACATTTTCTGGAATCACAACGATGCGGTAAGTTCGATCTATTTCCGATTCATTATTCTTATTTTTATAGTAATCGTATTGTTACGAGAAATCCGATCCGTATTGAGAAACATCCTTAAGCACGCTTAAGCACGCAACATTTACGCGAAACGAATACGCAGACACTGCAATATTACACGATTAGCAAGACCTAGATATATTACTGACGCGCGCGATTCTGGCCAACGTTGACTTTGCACACGGATAATTAATGATGATCCTACTTCCCGAGATATATTCTAATATTACGGAAGGTAACACGTCGAATAAGTTTCTGTTTCGCCGCCGCGAGACCAAGTTTCTGCGAGATGAAATTTTCAGCCAAAACTTCCGTCTCTTCGTCATGTTTATTGCGTACGCAGTTGTTTGAGATTATTATTGTCACTGCTGCTGTTATTATTATATCCTAAGAATTTTTTGTCATTAGCTTTTTACAAATGAATTACAGTTCGAAATAAATACAAAATATCCTAACGATACATATCTCATTGTTAGATAAGAGAAAGTTTCATTTTCTCCTTTAATTGATATAATTGATCATCTCACAAACTGTTTAATTACGAGAAAATTCCTTTATTAAATGGTTATTTTATTAATAATGTGTAATATAATATGTATAAAAATAATCTATAAAAAGGTGCGCGCGCACACACACACCCACACACACACACACACACACACACACACACTCACAGGAGAGACATTTAGGATTAATAAAAATTACAAAATTTTAATTTAAAAAATACATGAAATTTATATTTTAGAAATCTTTTATTTTTAATAAAAAATATGTAGGAAATAATAGTTTCCTTTTATAAGAACGAAATTTATGAAAAATTAATTATTTCGTTCTTTCCGATCGGTATAATTTCAAGAAGCCATAATAATATGACTAGCAGAAATTTCAAATGGTATCTGTATTTGAGAAATCTACCTCTCGCGAATTTTGCTGCGGAATAATAGCAGCGAAGAGATGCGTGATAAATGGCCGTACAGGCGTCGGCGAAAGTCGTCTCTAATCAGGTCCTTCGCCTGGAACTTCAGGAAGTCGAACAGTTCCGATTAGAGCACTGATAGAGGACGGTAGGCGCACTTACCCACCTGCTGTCATACAAGAATGTTGAGCAGTTTGAAATGTTTCCGTAGTTAAGAATTAATCGAATGGTATTTGCATCTTTCCGACTGAAATATTTTCGTCACAGTCTTAACCATCAAAGAAAGGGATAATGGACAATATTTATCCATTCGTGTAATAAGAGTATTCTCAGAATATTTGCGCGGGTATTTATTATAATTAATATGTTATATAAATCGCACACAAGTTTATAACTAAGCCAATCAAAAATAATGTCTAAAAATTCGAATTTAAGCTCTTAAAATATGTTGTAACATACAAATATTCTGCTAAAAATTTGCTTTTTCTAAACTTTTTTTTGATATTTCCATTTAAAATGATGAAGTACTAATGAAATCCAAATAATTCAACAAATTATCATATACGAATTAATTAAACGAATTAATCAAACTGAAAAATATATTTTATTATTTTTCTATCTTAATATTTATTTATAATGAAATCCCTTATCGACAGCCTTTATTGATATTCTGAAACTTAAGATTTTCACGACTTTCTAGTTTTTAGCACGATAACAAAGTTTTTCTGGCGGATGAATTAAGTATGTGCGCGCGCACAAAGGGGATTATAAAACATTCCGACGGTGGTGGCGGCGAACTGTTTGCGAACGGCTGACCGACCAATAAATTTTGATAATGTCCTGGTTGGCTGGCTCGCCGCTAAATCGTGAGAGTCGTGGCAAAATTGGTAACGGCACTCAGGAGGTTCCATTAGGCGCATTAAGCTCTGACCGAGAGCTTTGGGACTCGCTTGGGTACGTAGAAACAACGTTCGTTCGCAAGCCTTAAAGAGAACTCCGTCGTGCGTGACTAACGCGTGCAGCCTCGAAGGGTTCTGGACCGTAAATGAGCCGAGAGGGACTCCCTAATTCCTCAGATATCATTCTGTCAGTCCCTTCATCCTTTATCGTGAAGTACTGGAAGATATTGATAATATCCCGTGCGATTAGTGAGAGCCAGATTTATCAGCACCGTGTAAAACACAATAATGTTGCGACTTTATGCATAAATAATTAATATGATACTCTCAAAACATTTCGCAATCAATGTATTCTCGCAGCGCTTTATATATGTAGACTCTTGTTTTAGAAGAGAAGGTGATATTATGGCACCTCAATTACATTTTATATAATAACTTTGTTAATTATCAATATTTAAGTTTAAAATTGACAATTACTCATTAAAACGTTGTTAAATTGATTCTGGACTCAAAGTTACGAAATATTTACTTTATAATTACTTTAAATATTTATTACTTATTAGGATATTATTAATAAAAATGTGGCGACACTGCATAATGACTCGAAAAAAAAAATGAGTAGTAATGTGGTTTTTCATAAAAATAGCCTTAAAATATTAGTTTTATTTAGAAAACAATATTTGGTTACAAGATTAAAAAAAAGGAAAACATTTTAAAATGTATGCAAATGAATGTACATTCACATAACTTCTGTATATAAGCTACTCAGTACTAAAAATCTCAGTTAATTAAAAATAGTACATATATACGTAATATAAATTATAGATTAACAGTAGAGCTACAATCGATTATCAAATAATTATTTTGATATGAAAACTCAAAAAAAAGTAAGTAATCAATACAATAGAGGGCCACATTAGCAAAATGCCATACTATTGTTTAATTTTATAACTCGAAATATATACAGTCAAAAAAAATGTTAAATAGCAAATACATACTCAAAAATATATATATTCATGCGATAATACGCTCAAGTTTAAGAAAAATGAGGAAGTAGATGTAATTAAATGCTAAAATGTACCTCAAAAACATTTCGAAATACTTGAAAATAGAAATATTGTACGTTATAATAAATGCTGGCTATCGAGTATTGATATATTAGCATGATAACAGCGAGCTCTACTGAATAAATAATTCAATCCCTAAAAAAATCTTTCTAAAAAAAAAAAATTTACGCATAAAAAAAGATGTTGAATACATTCTTCTTAATCGAAAACGGATATAAAATAAATGTAATTAGCTAAATATTTTACGCAAGACAAATAAGACAGGCTAAAAGTAATTAAAACTGTCAATTGGATTATAGTGAAGAAAAAACTTGATGTGCCTGGGTTAAATTAAAATGTAATATTCTAAAACCAATATGTTTTCACAGTACGGAAATTATTTGCGAATTATTAAAAAGATTATTACGTACAATATATATACATTTTGCAGATATACACAATACATGGAAACAATAATTCAACAAAGAAGAGATGTTAATAATTGCTTACTAATTTTGTAAATTTATCTATAATGTTATTATATCTAAATATTATCAATATTATCAATATATTCAATAAGTAATCATTATAATAATAGCGGAAATATTATGGGAAGCCACAATACATACACTCATAATATCACCTTCTCTTCTATATTATCTCTTCTATAATATAAGGATATCTAAAACAAGTTTACAAGATCGAGCACTTGAAATAATATCATTGAAATAATCTTACGAGAATCCTTTTACGAGTATACTTTCGTTTTATCTTGACTATTTTTCACTTTGTATTTGCATGGAGGGTTACTCGTGTGGATTTCCGTGAAAGCTTCCTTAGTTTAACAGATCAAAGTGCGCGTCTGGATCATCCACTTTAAATATTTCGTCAGCGCTTCTGATATTTTTGGCAAAGAGACCTCATAGGAGATTACATAGGAGTTCCCATAGGATCGATTATAGGACAGGCAAAATAATAGCACTACTCAAACCCATATCTGATAGCAATTTTGCACGCTCATAATGATTCATGCTCGAAGATGTTATGATGGCCTTCGGATATGATGAACATACGATTGCTGCGACCGATAAGGAAGGAAGGAACAACCCTTAGGAATCGTTATCGTCTCGAGGGGAACTGACTGAAATTCTCGATAATAAAGTCGCTCGGATCGATTCACCGCGACGCGAAACATTTTCCGGCCGCAAGGAATCTACCAGAGCCACCCGGGCGCGTTTGCTTTCACGCTCCGATATACCTTATCCCTTTGATTTTGATTGAATTTCATGCCCGCGTCTATTGCGGCGACCGCACCTTGTAGCGACGCGCTTATAGATGCGCGATACGATAGATGTAGAGATATTTTAATATCTCTACATCTTATAGATACTCCAAGTGTTTTAAAACGCGCGAATAATATTTGGACATTATGCTAAAATTCAATGAAGAAAAGATTTTGTTTCGAAAATTCAATAAAAGTAAAGAGAAATTGATTTCGTGAAAAATTTAATATATTTGTCATATATAATTTCTTAATTAGGATGAATAACATTTAATTGTTATTGTACAGTAATAAATCTATATGTTCATAGTCGATATTGCGTTATTTGTATTTATCTAATTTTGTTTCTATTGACTCTGTACATTTTCATTCAAATCAGTCGAGAGTAAATTAATTTATTTTAAATATTCTATTATGAAATATAGTTAAACAAAATAACATATTAAATCTTATTTATATCTATGTTGCTCATGGAAATTTGCCAAAAGAAGAGTGAGGCATGAATGCCGCTGCCAAATCGATTTCCGCGATATATTATGGGAAAAGGAATAAAAGCATGTTTTGCAGATCTGTGATTACAGTTCGTCGGATGAATGAAAGCATGAGTATATTAATGTGAACAACAACATAATTAAAAATCAATATTGCGTAAATCGAGGGGTAACCACATAATGCAATCGTGGAACAGAGTCTTCAAAATCATTATAAAATTCATACGAAATCTCTATGTATAATCCAATAATTATATATATATATATATATATATATATATATATATAT